GTCTAGTTACACCAAAATTATCAACTGAGCGAAATGTTATTGCTTCACTTAATAATAGTACGTTACCAAGAGATTATAAGGTTAAAAAGGTTTACTTATAGCATTTATTGATCATCTCACGCACCTGCTGCTACCCTGCTTCCCGTTTCTTTTGACTTAATGATCAATCAACATAGCTGTTTATCAAATAAAGTTCGGTTCAGTCTCATCCTCATGGAAAATTACGTTATGCACTCGATCGCGTAACTACCAAAGGACTAGCACAAATAGAGTGTAGAAATCCTAATCAGGACCTATAGCAGATTGTAGAGCTCATCGCAGTGATTGAAAATCTTTAATTCACTTCAGGTGGAGGAGTGGGGGAGGGGTATTGGGCAGAAAATAAAAACGGGTTTGTAATCAGCACGATAAAGCCTGCAATTTGATATGGGTCTCAGTCAGAAGTTCCACTGAGTTTAACTTTATGAGAGCTGTTCAAAGCTTGTTGATGATGAAATTAGATGTCTGCGATAGCGCAGTTATTCTGTAATCTAAGAATATTTTTGACGATTATTTTGGTGAAATGAAATCAGTCTTCACCATCCAGCAGTATTGTTGAAATGAAGCGTTTAGTTGTGTGGTGCTTGTTGCGTGAGAATATTGTTTCTTATTTGCGTTTATATGGCTCTAAGAGATCTCCTTTTCGTTTTTCATATCGGAACTTATTCATTCAATGATATTATTTATAAACGTTTCTTTTATGATCAGTTGTTATCACCAAATGCATCAACAAATATCGTTGTTATTGTTTGGTTGTAATTATGTTTGCTATCGCGCTGAGCGCTTATGTTACGCAGTTGTTGATTGTCATTATGGAACATCATTTTCAGCAAGTGTCCTTGTCCATATCTTATATTTAATCCGCTAAATCTCTTCTATAATATACCAAAATTCCGTTTAATTGTTATTTTATCGTTCATTACATTTAGTGCTTATAATAATGGTAGCAGTAATGACAAACAACAATAATATCAATATTACTCTTCGTGTTATTTGTTATCGCGTTTATCCGGTGATTGTATCAAAAAAAAAGAAACAGTTCTTTTGTTTGGTTCAGGCGATATGTTATTATCCGTTCCGTCCCACAAATTATCACCTCCGGAAGTAATGAAATTTTTTGATGCCCATGCTCGTTTCTATCATTTGAGCCGCTCGGGTAACAGCATTCGAAAATCATAGTTCAGAATTTCACAGCGTATTTGATTGCTTCATTTGTTTCACTTACTTTCCAATTTCTCCCAACAGCGATTATTTGTACAGCTTGATTTGAGAACGAAAGAGTGAAGTTATAAAAATTTTGAATTCACCTCTGTAACTTATACAATGAATGAATTTCACGATTAAAAAATCGAATCGATATTCTACCTGTTCGTCAGATATATGATTGATTTTGAGTAGTTTTCCTTCATGTTCTTCACTTTTGATGTTACGTTAAAAACATTCTTGTGCTCAAAGCCATCGCGTTGAGTATGTAAATTCGCTCGTTGTTGAGCGTTCGTGGTCGTCTGTTTTGGTGCTATAATAATAATGTGCTTAAAAACAACCATTTGAAACTACACCGAAATTTCACTCAGTAATCATTTCAGTTTCACATCGTCCAGTTTTTCACGATTTTTGATTTTCATTGTTTTTAAATCACGTTTTGAAATTTCTGATCGGTTTAATTTATTGTTATGAATATTAATTCATTACACGTATATTTGAAAGATAGTCTTGCAAATTTCTTACAGTTACCGTATTTGTTCTTTCTCTTGTTTCAAGTTACTGATACTGGAATTTACTTCTGAAATTCAGTAAAATTGTTCAACTTCGTTATGATAATAACCGTCATCATATTATCATAGATATTATCCTACTGGAAAACGTTTTTCTCACGGATGCGATCTCGTCGTTATTCTATCTTATTTATCAGTACTTTGCTGTCTTTAATTGGTAATTGTTATTTAGGGTTCGTATTTTTCACCTATCCAATATATCCTTTAATTAAGAGTCCCGCTTCTATCTGATATTCTCATCAATGATTATCATTGAATCAACGATCAACTTTCTGATCGTGTGATGATTTTTTACATTTCTGCCCACCAATTAATTCATCTCGAAATCATTACTCACAACGGTTGTTGACTCTATAGCAGTTCAAAACGATAACAATTATTCCAGAACGCATTTTGATGTAACTATGAATGCATTTACATGTAATTATTTTTTGATATGTCCACTCAAACTGTGAAAACTTCATTTATATCGCGTTTCTACTCGCTTCTTCCTTTTCCAAATTGTTAGTTTGTTTTCTGTTGTGTTTGTTGTTATGAACGATTCAACTGGAAAAAAAAAACAATTTTTTGATGACAATTATGCTGATACTCTGAAGGTGGTGGCCATTCGCATGGCATAAATCGCATCGTTCAAATATAGATAACGTTGATTAATATGGGTGTTTTTCTTTGAATTGTGTTTGCTCGTGATGGTTTATTCTTTCTGAAAATAACAAAGACATTGAATATTTGTCTAGTGCATTGCGATGATTAGTCACTTGCTAAGTATCCTAGAGAGCTTACTCACAGCACTTCTTTAAAGTGGATAGTCAGTACTGAAGTTTGATTCCAAACCATGTATCGATTGTGAATTTCTTGTTTGTAACATTTTAGTTGTATTGATTAAGAATTAGTGTTTTTTACGGATTTCTCATCTAATTTGCCTCATCATCACCTTCGGAGGCATCAGCTTACACGAATGCAGTCTATATTATTATTACGCTTGTTTGTTTATCGAAGTATTCAGCGAATAAACTAATTCGTCAAGAAATCTCTAGGAGGGAAATCGTGAGAACAGAGATCAAGTCTCCATTTGGGATTGTGTTATCCGTTTCCTTCAAAGTCTGTTCCTAGGAGCAGTTTTATCGATCGATTGAAGTTTTCCACCAAAGGGGTAACTGACAAAAACTGAGTTCCTGCAGGATTATTCCTCCAAAAAACGTATATATAACTCAACTAATTTAAATAGCTGCATAGAGAGTTTATTTGCTTGCGATTTGAAGAACGCGAAATCAGTAAAATGTTTCTTCATGCGAGTGAATGAATCTGTGATGGTTTTTTTTCATCTTTATTTCATGTTTGTCGATTACATCCACTTTGCTTGTTATCGCTATTTTTGGTAATGGTGCGTAATTAGAAAACTCCTCTGGATAATTTATTATGTCGTTACATGGTCACTGATTGTTATTTCTGTGTACATATTGATCATTTTTTGTATCGAAACATGAATTCAGCGAGATAAAAATATCGAACAAACGACCGTGAGGTGTGCCTCAACTCAATGCTCTCGAATGCTATTCACTTCAACGTTTTTTATAGGTTTAGATTCGTTCTGTTACGTGAAAGTACATTGACATATATGATTCTCCTGAATATTTCTTCGCGAAAGTCGCATTCAAACAACGTATACGCAGTCCACTACACTGCAAGACAGTTTCAATTTTGAGCAAATTTACATTTAGATTCGGAGTCGCGTCATTTGTATAGTGATTTGACCAGAATATTTTCGACTATTGGTTGTGAGAACAATAAAATAGTGATTAGAAAGAAATCTGAAATGTGGGGTATTTTTAGACGGAAACGTATTGTGGCCAACAACGTTACAAACGTTTGATAGCCTGGCCAATCCAGGTAAATGATCTTGCTCATGCAAAGAGTTCAGACGGCCGCCATAATTCAAAAAGACATCATCTGATATGAAATATCATCCGCATGGCGATTTTTTTGGTGAGAAAGATTTAGAAAATGAGATTGCTTAAGACAACCAATATAAGTATTGCTCAGAGAGAGGAAAGTTGTTCATGAACGCACAGCTGAAGACTTTTTTTGACTTTATCACAATATTACGTTTACAAATTCACATCCTCGAAGTTTTTGAATAAATCTGCTAATTGTAATTAGGCAGTGCCACATTTGCCACCTTAAAGGTTATCGTTTATTCATGGTCAAGAAAAAATTCTGTTTACAAGTAAATAAAACCGTTTTATAAATTTTCCCTTAGATAACCACTGCAATCAAAACGTTCACACTTTATTTTATTTGCTGCTGTGATTTTAAAAAACAAGCCATTTACAAATTCGATCACTCAGGTTCCGCGCAAATGACGAATTACGCGACGTAACTTGGGATCTCCGTGAGGGTTTTATAATATATTGTATTGCGGAGTACATATACAGATTGTAAATTGTCGATGCATGAATTCATGGATTTTTAGATAAATAAATAGATCAAACTGGAACCTCCTGAAATTGGTTCATCTGTTTTGGAGAATATATCACAGTTAAATTAAAGAATTAATGGATGGATTTAACTCGCAGATATTCGAACAGTTGTGAACTATGGACAGACACTGTTCCTTGAACAAGCGATTTTACCGATAATTGTTACGGACTTGTTCCACGAACGCCAGAGAATGAGGATGGGATGAGCGACAAATCCGTCCGCGATGACCGACAAATCTGTCGTGAACGAGAGCTCTTTGGAAGGCCCAAGCCACCCTATCAAAACAACAACCAGTAGGAATATGATCAGCAATCTTCATTACTCAACTAAGTCCACCGGTTACTAATATCACGAACGTGCCACGCTTAAACAATGATAAAACAACGATAAATATTCTCCAAATATATCGCATTTCCTAGTACAAACACGCAATAGTGAACATGCGTCGCATTGCTCAAAAGTCGAACTGAAACGAAGTTTCCTGACCGACTATGCGTTTCAAAATGACGTAGTACGGATTGGTCGCGGACGGATTTGTCGTAGAGCCATGAGGAATGATGCCATTACAAGAGAGGTTGAAGATGGATGGCGTTGCTTAATCTTCTGAATCGGGGGCTCTGCGACGTAGGTTGGGATCTCCATGACGATTTCATAATACTTTGACGAGCAAAAATAACTTTTCAGTTAAGCCAGTTCCTGTTTGAGATGCGTGCAAGTGAATCAATCACGTGGCAACTTATCAATTAATGTTGTCGGAGATGAATTACATGTGTGTAACAATTTCTGGTACTTGTGCTGTTTAGTCCCTCCACCAGTACGCAATATCACGCGCGCGTGCGCGTAGCCACGCCTACTGGATAAGCCTAAGCCTGATGCCGAAGTCAGCGTAACAGAATGGGTGTGGCCTAAAGCGCGTATGACAACGTGCGGCGGTGTTGTTGAAAGCGCAAATGGTGTCTGCGTGCGGGTGGAGGGACTAAACAGCACAAGTGCCCAATTTCTTTCTTAGTCAATATTGCGTGCTGTCAAGGTAAATAGTGTGGATGAGATGACGGACTAAGGATCTTATAACATGTTTTGAGACGTAGCGTGTGGGGAGAACAAATAAAGGTACCATTTTATTCGTAATTGAAAGCGTCTAATGATAGTGGTGAAAATTTTCGTTGTGCTATCTGGAAAGAACACTTTCAACAAAATCAATTGGGCGAGTCAGTCATGTTGATTTTTTATCGTTTGATGGATTCAATGTCTCGAGACAGACGTTTATTACGTGCACTGATGTGATGATTTGGAAAACGTTTATTTTGATCGTGTGAGTGTTCGACAAATCTCATATACTCAGCTGACATCTTTTTTCTTTTAGCTAACAAAAGGATACCACATTTTTTTCATTTTTAAATTTTCACGATATGGTTGAGATACATCAAAAACGTTCATTGTTCTGAATCGTTTTTATTCTCATATTTCTTTTTTCAGCAGAATTTCGTAGGAATAACGTTTTAAACAATGGTTATGTGGATGAGGTATATTTATAAGGTGCACGCGTTAATCATCATACTCTTAAGTGTTCAATGACTGGTGGTAAATTTTCAATGGAGCAAAGCATTAAGTTTGTTCGTTACCCGTTAAAAACTAGCTGTAGATGATTGCAATTTGTGATGTAATTGCTCTCTCCATTGAGTAAGTTCATGAAAAATATCAGCCACAAAAACCAGTACGGATATTCGAAGCAACTGCTATTACGAAAGATGATTTTTCAGAAGAGGTTGACTGTTCTGATGCTTATATACGAAATAAAAAGGGAACTTTCAACAGCCCATCTTTGTGACGTTGCATTCGATTTCACTTCAGTCTTGTTGCGCCCACCCACCTACGTTTTTCAGCCGCACACAACATCCATCCATCTCTCAGTCGTGTTCTTCAGCTGTTTTATTATTTCGATGTAGTCGATTATTTATCAGTCATAGTATGTTGAAAGGAAAAAATTTATTGCCGTTTGATTAATGTCAGAATCAGTCTTTACCTCCCCAACTTAGCTCGTTTTCGTGAATAACAATAGGGTTTTATGCATCATAGTTGGAGCGGTATATGAGTGAAATCACGTCCTAATCAAATGCTTTTGCTATGATATAAATGATAGCTGCTCTGCTGTTGTAAATTCGTTTACTGTTATGATTAATGATCGCTTCAGTCGGTTTTTTGCATGATATGTATTTATGTGGTACTTTGTAAGTTATTGTTTAGAAAAAAGAATTTAGTCAAAGAGGAACGCAAACTTACGTAACGGTAAAATACTGGTTGTGTTGGTGTATTGTCTCATAATTTTATTAAATGCTTTACTACGTCATAACTCTCTTGAGGTGGGTGAATTATATTTTTTCTTTTTTCTTGAGTTTATAAGGCAAATTTTCTTTCGTTGTAGTCTCGTGGACACTGAATTTTTCAACACAAAATTTTTTATACCATTCAGCCAAGATAAATTCGAACAAAATGATGTATTTGTGAATATTTTATGTAATTGCAACGTGTGGTACCAGTTTTTAACATTTTCGCTAGTGATGTTAGTTAAACGTGTTTGAAAGACGACTATGGTGTGTGCAAAAAGCAAATCTTTTAGTCAAATATATTGCAATGGTCCGATTCTGAAGGCGGTTCAAGATTCACATATATTTCCTGATTCGAAATACTTTGTTGATATGCCGTTGAAATATGATCCAGGTAAATAATTGACTTAACGATTTGGATTTTATCTTACCAGTTATCATTAACTGTTTGTGTTATTATATCTTTCTGCTTTGAATATGTTGCTCTTCTTCTGTTCATCTCATACTTTCTTGGCACCGATGAATTGACTGATCTTATGAATAGAATTGCTAATGATTGACTGTGTTGATGCGATGTGCGATGAATAAAATCTAAAGCTTAGCAAAATTTGAATCAGTGCGATGACTGTGTTGTCAATGAAACACGTTGGGTGAATCTGTGATTCATTAGATTATTACACACTGATTGATTTGTTGTATTGTAATTGATTAAGTCAATTTTCAGTGACAACACTTAAGAATTTCAACGAATTAGGCGAACGAGTAAAGGACCTTGGTATTTTGAAGCAATTCGTTGACGATCATTTCGATCCACCTGGATTTGAATTAATTGAGTGGTATCCCGAAGATTGGGTAGCATTTCCGTCTAGTTTCCTTAAAATTGAAGATTATCATCTGCGTCGCTGGGCCTTGCATTTGCATCGCATATGGAGAGATCTTTGTAGACGAGTTAGCTGTTTTCGTTTTATTTTTTCCACATTTTCTTTTCATTCATTTACTAAAGTGTTTTTTGTTCACCTATGAAAATCACGTGAAATGAAGTTTCAGAATCAGAGTTTTCCAAAAAATTCATTGGATTTAGTTATTGATCTTGCAAGTTTATTCATTATTCAAATTTGTTCTTTCTTGTAATATTCTGTTTTTTTATAAAAGGTGAAAGACGATGTGAGACAACACCAAGAACTCTATTCATTACTTTATGTACCTCATCCTTTCGTCATTCCTGGTGGCCGCTTTCGAGAATTCTATTATTGGTTCGTTACTCTTCAACAAATTTAATGACCACTTTCAAATGCTGACTGTAATGATTCTCAAGAAATCACAGAGCAGTTGAGGTTCTGCATGCATTTTTCGATTGAAAGGACGCACTATTGCCAATTGTGTTACACTTTTTTTTGCCAAAACGTTTGTAATAGGTTGATTGTTTCGCATAATATGACGCGGAAAGATTTTGACGTGCTACGTGAGATACTTCCATCTGATCTGAATTTTCTGCTAGGATATTATGCCCTCGAAGCATGAATCTTCACTGAGATTTTATGGCGATTTTTTTTGTGATGATTTTGAAAAGGACGACAAATTGTTGGATGCTTATCGAATTTCTGAGTGTTTTTGCAGGGATTCGTTTTGGATTCTCAAAGGTCTACTCTTCTCAGAAATGTACGATACTGCGAAAGGGATTATTAGAAATCTGGCATATATGGTTGAAAAGTGAGTTGCTTTCATGGATATACTGTTACGAACAATCCAAAATAAAATGGTGTAATTATATTGGCGCGTTTGCACTTTACTCTAGTTATTTATATTGTACAAATGATTATAAAATTTAAAAAAAGCAACATTTTATTATCGACATCTTCATTAATAGAGTATAGCAAGGAGGAATTCCTCCGATGATACGCCTATGAAAAATCATCCGTTTTTATTCCTTCAAATTTTGAAAGTCGTATGTTTTTAAGATGTATTTCTTAATGTTCATTTCTTTTGTTTCGGGTAAAAACTGTTGGGATAGCGGGCGAGGAACAAATTTTTTGTTTTTGACTCATTTAATATCAAATAATGATCTCATTTAAAATAATTTTTCACGCTAACATATTTGTCTAGTGATCAGTTCAGTTTTTTCTCTCAGATATAATCAGACTGGTATTTTGTTTCTTCAATTTCCTCAATGACATGACAGATGAATTGTTTATTTTATGTTGCTTCTCTGCTTGTTTTTCATATGTTTATTCGAAGGTGATATGTTTGCATGCAGTTTCATTGTTCTAAAATATCCGTTTTTCTTCGTCCATTCGCACTATCTCACAAGCAGTCCAGTTGAGAACCGATGGAACTCTTTTTTAAGCGAAATGACATATTGAAGACCACCCAAAGTGATGCACCGCACTCGTTCTCATGGGTGATGACCAATATTAGTGGGATGAGTGTAACGGGAAAAGATTAGTGATTGAAGTGAACAGGAAAACAGGTGGCCAATGTTGATATGGAAAAAATTTTTGGAATGATGCTGCAGTCGAAAATCAATTAATAGTAGCATTGACTTTAAGGAAAATGACTGATTTTGAAAGCAATTAAACGTTGAGGGACCGTTAAGTGTCAGTTGTCTGTTGTGGGAGTATCCACATCGACTATATCATTAAGTGGTCATTTCTTTTCCACTCTTGAAAGCAGATGATTTTCAAGCAATACATACCTCTTGTTGACTACGGATTGCTCAGTGAAGGTGATGTTAATTTTTGTTGATTGATATTGTTGATGTTTTCCGCTGTTCTAGTCATGGTTTTGTACCGAATGGAGGTCGTGTTTATTACCTGATTCGATCACAGCCTCCATTGCTTTGTCCAATGCTTTATGAATACTACCTGGCCACTGGAGATTTAGAATTTGTTAATGAGGTACGTCTTATATGATCTAATATTTCTCGCAAAATTATTTACATTTTATTATCCAGTATCGATTATCGATTGTGTTTGTTAATTAGACCAGGGTTTCCCAACTAGGGCTGCACACTCCCTGAGGATGCGAGATGGCATGCCAAGGAATGCGATGAGAGGGTGTGAGTAAGGGGTGAAGAAGAGGGTGCGAGACAAGGTCTTATTTTGAGATACAGAGTGGGTGTTGTGAGGGGTGCGAACACGTTTTAACTATTGTTGTAGGGGTGCGAAGACATCTTAAAATTTTTTAGGAGATGCGAAGGGGAAAAAAGGTTGAGAACTACTGAATTAAATTAACGTAGCAATAATCGTGAGGCATTTTCATTGTCCAATCTCGTTACAATATGACATGTTTATTTTATCCGCATCAGCGGTTAATTTCAATTCTTTCACTGATATTTTCACTCAGATTTTACCAATGCTGGAGAAAGAATATAATTTTTGGCTAGTGCAGCGTGCAAGGCCATATTATGATAAATCTGAAAAGGAGAAATTTCAATTCTTTCAATATCGCGCTAGCATGAAAACACCTCGTCCTGAGTCATATCGTGAAGATATGGATCTTGTTCGAAATCTTACTACCAATGGTAGGCTAGTTTGTTTCATTTGAATTCGCATCCGATCTTTCATTAAATATTTTTACATATTCAAAATTGAATGATTCGTCCGAATATTTTACAATAAACTGATATCACTCAAATGATAATAAATTTGAGAATGTGATGGATATTATAGCTGAAAAAGAATTGTTATGGTCAAACGTAGCATCGGCTGCTGAGACAGGCTGGGATTTTAGTACGCGTTGGTTTGCTCAGAGTGGTCCTGGTATGCATGATATGCGTTCCATACGGACCTGGTCTATTGTGCCAGTTGATTTGAATGCATTTATGTGTATCAATGCACGTCTACTTGCTTCTTTATTTGAAATTACTGGTTAGTATAGTATCGATGTATATTCATTTAATCAGCAAATCAAACTCATTACGAGTTCGTGTCTCTCTGTTACCACCAATATCACATTCTTCCTTCTTTGGCACTCTTCTTTCTGCACAGCTAACGACAATAGCGTTTGGAATCATCTGTCTTCATGAAATTCGAACTGGGATTATTAATCTGGCAAGCACAAAGGTTTTGGGCTACTCTCCCATATTGCCCAATGATTTCTAGGGAGAGGGACTCAAAAGGAGCCCGAAAATACATTCCGATAGATCGATTGAACACTCGTCCAACGATCATTCAGAGGTTTGGAACAAACAACAGTAGTGAATCAGCAATCTTTCGTTATCAATAATAAACGATTAATGTAACCGAGTAGATCCATAGCAATCGGCGTATCAAGCACTCCACATCCAACCAATAACGAGTGCCTGTTGCTATAGATAATTTGCATAATTAAATCCAGCCGAATACCAACAACAATCCATTAGACAATCGCAACAATGACGAACATTTTGCCGATCGCATAGAATGATCGACAAACCAACCGCTCACCGTCTAAACATAACTTTAAACCATCGATGTATATATCAATGTATATATCTAGTCTGATTATTCAGTCTCATTAACGGTCGTTTTTGAGGAAATTTTTCGAAAGTGTTCCTCTATCAAGCACGCTATGAGCAAGCGAAACTAGCAATGAAGCAGATTCATTGGAATGAAACGGATGGAATTTGGTACGATTATGATCTCGATCGAAAGGTTTGTGTAGTTTGCTACTCCTCATTTCATTAGTTTTTTAGTCTTCATTCCAACGATGTTGTTCTTCTCGTTGAGGTTTTTGAGTTACCAAATAATTAATGATTACTCAAATTATGAGCAACGTTTGCCTACGACAAAGTTTTCTGGTTTTAAATTGCTAACATCAAAGTTGACTTCGAATTCACAGCTTAAAAATTCTCGTATTTATGAAGTTGTCAGTAAAATTTAGGTTCATTCAAATACATATTATGTATCGAACGCGTTACCATTGTATGCAAAATGTTATGATGATGAGGATGATACCACTCCACATCGAGTATACGAATATCTGAAGGTTTGTTCCTGAGATGTTTCAAATTTAGTTTCAAAATTTCAGTCCTCTGAATCGTTGCGAACCGAATAAGTGTTGAAAGAATTGATGGCAACATTCAGCATTCAAGTCTCATAAAAAGTCAATATTTCAGAGGGAGGGTGTACTGAACTTCACCAAAGGTCTGCCAACGTCACTGGCAATGGGTAGTGAACAGCAGTGGGATAAAGAGAATGCCTGGCCGCCCATGGTGCATATGGTCATTGAAGGATTCCGAACAACTGGTGATCCACATCTAATGAAGGTATTTTATGGATTCATTACTTTTATTCATTTCATAGCGTTGTCAAAAATTTTAATGGATCAATAAATAACAACTAGAGAATTACGCTCGTCGAAGATAGTTCACGAAAGTTTTTTTTAAACATAGGATTCAACCGGATGAACCCATTATGTGATTGAAGATTGAATAGAATGGATTCAGAAAATGTTTGCTGAATTGTTTGAAAATAATTCGATTTTATTCACAGGCAGCTGAAACGATGGCGACACAGTGGTTAAGAGTTACTTATAAGTCGTTCATTCGAACACATTCAATGTTCGAGAAATATAATGTATCGGCGATGACGGAAGAGTGTAGTGCTGGGTCGGGGGGTGAATATGAAGTTCAGGTCTCCATCATTTCATGTCATTTGAAGCATTTTATTCTCTTTATTTCGCTTTATTTCCGTGATTTAAAACGGTTTGCCAATGATAAATTTCTGCTACAGCAATTAAAGCATCATTTTTTTTGTTTCTAAATGTGATGTTCAAACGATTATTCGATTAACCAAATACGTTTGATCATCACTGAACTGTGACTGTTGATTCATGAAATGATTTTAGACAGGTTTCGGATGGACGAACGGTGTTATATTGGATTTATTGGACAAATATGGGCATAAGATGGCATCATCAGCGAGCTTAACCACGTCGTCACTTGTCTTCTACTTTCTTTTGAGTACATTTTTAGTTTGGTATCACTTTTCAACTGCGCAGTAGGAACCACTTCTCCTCTAAATCATTGCATGAAATTATTACCATCAAGTTATTACGATCAAAGTACGTTTTTATAAGATTCAAGGAGACCATCGCAAAAAAAATTGTGAATTTGATTTTAAAAACTCTTTAAATTGTCCGATAAAATTATTCTCGAATGTCTATCATCCTGATTTTATCACTCTCCTCGTTTTTACTAAAAATACTGTCGTTGTCATTGTTTCATTTTTGTGATGCCTAATTCTCTTTTTCATAAGTGCCTAGTTTCATCAACTTTAGAATTAAGTTGTTCCTAGTTCATGTATTAATCTTGAAGCGGTTTGTCTTTTTATAATTGCTGCTGTATTTTATAATTTTTGCATTCAATGCAGTGTTCATTTTTCAATGTTGGGAGAGATTTCTTAGTGGTGGAAACTGTCGTTATTTGATTTTGTGTTGTTGTATGGCTCAAAGAGCGAACTTATTGAGACGATGATATATTTGACACTCCACTCCGACTGTTCATCATCACATAATGACATTTGTTTGTTAGCAATCTCTCGATTCGCATTTTCAGCGTAGCTGTACCCCAGAGAAGTGTGATGTTGAAAAATTGAGATCACTTGAATTGGAATTGCCACTTTTTCTCATTAGTTTGTCTTTGTTACTGCTTAAAATTGATATTCTTGCTGTTCGAACAGTTGAAGTCCTGCTGGCGATATCGTCGAGTTGACCCCAGTAATACTTGAAGTAATTCTTTTTCATAAGTTTCAGCCGGTGTTTCAGTGTGTTCCAAATTAAATTGTCGTTTTGACACGTAAATTAATTGTCTTACCATATAAACCTGGTATTTTTAATAGCATTTCATCTTTTGCCATCATTTCATGATATCATCAGCTGTTGTTTCGTTTTCGCATATACAATTTTCTCGGTCTTTAAAATCGAATCGAATGCATACCAGTTGCTCTTCTTTGGACCCGTGCATAAATTGCTGGTATTTTTACTGCTGAACATTCATTCATCATTCGGCAACAATCCGTTCACTTTCAGGTTCATTTTTTATTTATAAATGTAGATATAATACCATCTGGTAAGATCTGATTATCCATCCTCTTCATCATTTGTTGATGTCATTCATATGTAGTTATGGTTTGTGCTAAATTAATTTTGAGATGCCTAATTCTATTCGATTCACGAAAACTGTATATGTGTAGCATACAGTTGTATGGGTTTTCATATTTGTATGTTTATCGTGTGATGGTTTAAGTTATTAGTTCGATTATATGTATCGATTCATTCGGCGAATGATTCCTTTTCTGGGTGATGTGATGACTAATTGATTGATCTAGTTTGATTGTATATATCATGAGTATTTTCACTGTTTGTTTTCTTTTTGTAGAATGACCACTGATGCTAATAAATTGTTAACGATTCTCAACAAAAACAAAATCGTTGATTGTTTGTGCTCGTCTGCGATCATTGATGATCGATTGGATTTGTGTATTGTTTTTGACAATGATCAATATCTGTTGTGGCAAGCTGACGAAATCATTGAGTGGTACTCAAGACATATTTTGTTGCGATAATAAGTTCGTTTGCTTCAGTTCTAATTGCTAGCTAATAGAATGATGAATTCCAAAGTTTTGTTGAACCGTTAAGCAATGCGTACTCATTCACTCCTATCAGTTTGATTATAGTAGCTCGTTTTATTTGAGATCATTCAATTGAGTTTGTTGCTTTCCTTATGTATAGGCCAACAAGCGGGTGTTAGTCATCCTTTTATCAATCTGTTACGTTCGTTCTATTTGGACTGTGATATTTCGATTCAGGTCATGATTGCGAGTTGCATCGTACAAAGTTTTTGCATTAGCAAAAAAAGAGAAGGATTCTACTTTGGCTCTGATCGGAATAATCGATTATGTCCACATTAGCTTTGCCACTTTGGAAACATTCATTTGTTTTGTGTTCTTTTCCATTATGTTTCTTGTTTTCTCCTTTATCGTCCTTCATTCATCTTCCAGTAAAACGAAAAAAAGTTATTCAAAAATGTCCGTTCATTTTTCTACGCTATTTGAGAAAAACGTGATAAGTGTATCTATATTGAAGGGAAGGACATTTATAGGTCAACGATTTGATAGTTGCGCATGTATATTCATTAATCGGTTGCATGCTTTTTAGTCATGTGTCATTTAATCACTCGGCGATCAGTTAAACGTCTGAGCTGAGCTTTTAATCTGAGCCAAAGAGAAACCCATCCCGTAATCAAATATTCATGGTTAGAAATCAGTATGATCGGACGTCGTTGTGCAAAATTGGGAGATTGTGGAGTTATGAATTAATGAGCTCAGCGCGGTCTCATCGTATATTAAGCCGTATTATCAGTTTATTTTAAGCAGTTCGATCGACATGTTCGACGTCGATTGCTGGACGATTTTAGGTTTAGTATGGGTTGTGTCTTTATGGGACTTTTATCTTTCGATACGTCAGGTTTGTAGTTGATCATCTGCTTTATTTTCGCTTATTCATTTTCACTTTGCAGTTAATTTCTTTGTTGGTGTCGCACATCTTATTCGATGATTTTTATTCACGAAAGGGAAATTAAACGACTTTATGTATCGTTAATTTATAGTATCGTGTACATCGCGATACGGCAACTAGACCCGAAAATGTGAAGGCGATCATCTCCGAGGAGGACTACGCTAAAGCGCGTTTGTATGCGATCGATAAACATCATTTCAACTTTGTACGATCAATCTACGGGCTACTGCAGTTAACGGTGAGCTGCTGCAAAGTTCTACATTAATTACAGAATCATGTTACCGTTTACTGGTGCTTTTCAAAAGTATACTGTTGAAAATTAATGCCTATTAACAAAAGCAACAATCAAATGCAGTTTCAAAATGCCCTTTAATATGAATTTTCATCAGGCACTCGTTGTTTTCGAATTATTCGTGATTTTATGGACTCTTTGTGGCTCTATAAACGAAAGAATCGGTGTTTCAAGTCAGGTATTCAAGTTCTCCGCAATCCTTTTGCACTTCTGCATTCTTTTCATTTGTTCTCAACCAACAAATCGTATTACTCTTGTGAGCAACGGTATCTGATTATAAGTAATAAGAGGAATAAGATTGAAATGTTGTCAAAGTCAGTTTATTTCGTTTTTGGAGTTCTTTTCTACATCTCCTTAAAATTAACGGATTACATTTTATAAGCCTATTACTTCTCAATATAATCCATGTTTTTGAGTATCGTAGCGATTGACAAATCTCATTAAGTGAAGCAATAGTGTACTTGTTGATGATGGTTCAATTATTGATCAAAATAAATTCGTTCGATCGTTTTGTTGATAAAATTTAGGGAATAGATGAGAACAGATGAAAAATGCTTTCAGATGGCTCAGTCAGTAGCGTTCATTTGCTTAACGACTCTCATTGAGACAGTTTTGAGTTTTCCATGGCAGATTTATGAAACGTTTGTTATTGAGCAGAAGCACGGCTTCAACAAACAGGTTTATTTTTTTGCCTATCGTCCTTTTAAGAAATGCTCGTATTTTCCTTTTTTCATGAGGATGTGTAATGCCTCTGTTCAGTATGCGTAGTGTACAACTGAGATCATTATTATAGTTTTGTGATTTGTTTGAAGTTGGATGGTTTTTGTTGAATAAAATCATATTGTTATTGTTGCGGTATTGAGGGTATACCTATCAGCAAATCTCTAGATATTTTTATTTATGACGTCAATCAACATTCATATATTTTTGGTCGTATTGCACTCTTTACAAAATCTGAGATGCGCAGATGACAGCTGTAATATTCATTCAGTTAACGTTTATGTGTTTAACGTCATATCTTCTGTTTTCATTGTCGTATCTAATGCTTTTGATTTGTAGACATTCGCATTTTTCCTCAAAGATAAAATCAAGAAAACCATCGTTGGCCTCATGTTGTGTGTACCAATCACAACGATTGTTATATATATTGTAGAGAATGGTGGAAAGTATTTCTTCTTTTATGTTTGGATCTTTTTATCGATTGTTCTCTTTGTTAGTTTATTTTGTATTACTTGAAAACTAATTGAATCGTTTTAATCATATACTTACATCTGAGATAAGACTATCATCTGTGTTGTTGTTCTATGTTGATGAACTGGGATAATAATATTGTTTTTGACTAAAACAGTATTCGTTATCGAAAAGAATTAAATACTGTTTTTATTTGATACTTTTCGAGTACGAGAACTATGTGGTGATTAAGAATTTTTGTATGAATTCAAAGTGCCCAGAAATGATTGTAACGGCAGCATAAGATAATATTATTAGTTGCATTATTCACGACATTCATCAGTATTTTTAATATTCTGACCGTAATCCGTGAATTTGTCATTTTTGCAGTTATTAATGACCATCTATCCCGAATTCATTGCACCGCTTTTCGATAAATACACTCCTCTACCGGAGAGTGCATTACGTGAAAAGATTGAGAAGTTGGCCGATTATTGCCATTTTCCATTGAAAAAACTGTATGTTGTTCATGGTGAGTGAATGAATACTACGTTTTCTTTATGTGCATTGTTCGTGTTAATATCTGCAATCGCCTCTTCTCTATACGTCATTGAAAAGCGTACGCATTGCTGGCTTTACTAGTGTGTTTACACTATCCTTTAATGGTGTTGTCATTCCTCACTTTTTTACCGAAAACTTTGTTTGAAATTCAGTTGTTGTCACGTTGGAAGAATTGGTTCAACACATCACAATGATGACTACGTTACATATGTTCAGTGTATGAACTAGTGAATTAATTACGAGTAATGAATGAAAATTTGAAACGTTCAGGGTCGAAACGTTCTGCACACAGCAATGCGTATATGTATGGAATTTGGAATAATAAGCGCATCGTTCTGTATGATACGCTGTTAAGTGAAGAAATGAACGCAAAACTGAATGAGGTTAGTTAGATGGTGAATGAAATTCGGAATTGAATCTACTGAATTTTTAACATTCTCTCTGAAACAGTAACCAGAAATGTTATTTGGCACCAATAAGAAGCAGGTTGATGAGATTCACTCGAAAGAAATTAATCCTATGACTCAGTTTAACACTTTCAAAGCGGTTCAGGTTGCGGAATTTTGAAGCATTTCAATTATTCCACAAGATTATTATCTATAGGCTGAAAAAAAAGTTGACGATGACGGAAAACAAGGCGATGAGAGCAAGGACGAAGAGAATAAGAATGAAGAGGGAAGCAAAATAGAGAAAAAGAATGTGGGTCTTGAGGATGACGAAGTTGTTGCGGTGCTTGGTCATGAACTGGGTCATTGGCACTTTCTTCATAATGCCGTCAATATTTTCATCACAGAGGTTATAATCATCACCATTATTATATTTCCGTTTTCCTTTATTTATCTGTATAAATCTACATTCCACTAGAAAATTATTATATGACATAGTCATATTATTTTAATGTAAAGTATTAAACTTACGGTATCATCAAGTATAAGAAGTCATCACCACTGAAGGCCATAATTAACGATTCTGTACTGTTTCCTATCGGATGCATATTTGTCAGTTAGTCTTTCTAACAAGTTTCCTTCATCATGGAGTTTTTTGTCGTTGGACAATGAGAATCTTTGCACTTTTTTTTAAAATTGCAGGCCAATTTACTTGGTATGCTTGCGGTATTTCATCTGTGCTATCAGAATTCGCATCTTTATAATGCTTTCGGTTTCTATGATTCGAAACCAACAATTATCGGATTCATCATTGTTTTTCAATACATTATGGCTCCATATGATGAGCTGATTTCGTTCCTAATGACGGTTGGTTTTGCATTTATGATCATATTCTATTGTTCGATTAGCTGACCTTAATAGGCACTTATTTCCGTCCTTTTAGTTTTGTTTTCATTTCTGTTTAGTTGTCGGAGCAAATCTGTTAGTTTTCGTACGCATATAAGGAAAATACCTGTCATTTCAGATATTTCTCTTGTTTATATATATATGTTCAACTTTTATGATTTGATTTCATAAAATTCCTTAAATTCTTCTTTTTCATCTCAATTTTATGATTCACGAGACTCCAAGAGTGGTTGGAAGTAGGATATCCTTATTTTTGGCTTGATAACGTTTGTGGCTGATGGTTTCAAGAAGAGCAATAGTAAGAAAAATACATATCTATTCAGATGCTGTCGCGACGGATGGAATTCAGTGCTGATCAATTTTCACTTTCACTCGGCCACGGCAAGCAGTTATGTGCAGCTTTGATAAAATTAGGCAAAAACAATTTATCATTACCGGTCGACGATTGGCTTTATTCGACATTCAATCACTCGCATCCGTCAATTCCTGAACGAATTGAAGCAATTGAACGCAAGCAGAAAAGTGATTGATTGAATACGTCATTAAATGAGTCGTTCTTTTGTTGTTCATATTCAATTTCGATTTTAAGAAGAAAGTTGAAATAATCCATTAGAACAGAACATATTTTTCATGAGTAACATTATTGGGTTGGTCTGTTCGTCGCTAATAATTGAAATCTGAATGGATTTTATCAACGAATAGGGCATGCTTTTCGTTAAGCTCATTATTGATTTTAATTCATCGTTTTTTGCATCATTTTGTTCCAGACTTTATTCCATTTTGATTTGCACATTCTTCTATCGTTCATGGTTTTACTATATTCCGTCGACAAGCGCATAATTTTTGTGCTGATTTTCAATACCTTTGTTTTGTCTTGCGTCGTATCTGCTGTTTTTTTTCACTTCATACATCTGTTTGTTTGTTGTTCATTCCAATGAATTGTATGGTGAGTCGAATTGATAGGTCTACGACAGTGGCTCCCACGCTCAGATGCTTCATTACCCATTTTGATGATCTGGCACGCCGCCTTTACCTCCTCTCCCCCCTCTGAAAAAAAAAACTTGTAATTCCTACGTATGACGTCGGGAACGAAATGGAAAATCGGTCCGAAAATTTCTTAGTGGCGTGAAAGAAATTATTTTTCTGGAATGAAACAAGTATTTTCAGAACTTTATTCATCCATTGCAGAAACAATATGAACCTCGGCCATAAAAACGAAAAGCAGTGAAAAAACATCCTTCAGCGATTTAAAAAAATAAAATTTAACGACAAGTTCAGTTACTCATGGAGAAGGAAGATGCAACAAAAAATTGAGGATTTATCTTCGAGATGAACGGAAAAGCAATCATTTTATTAAAGTGATCGTTAATGAATAAGTGAAAAATTCATCGGAGGGATGAAAATAAATTCGAACTATCGAGCGTTTAGAGATACGACAGGTGCATTAAGTCTGCGATTCCCATTCTTCTTTTCGAGCATTTCAGTCATTAACATCATAAGAAAGGTTGTCGTTGATCACGGAAGAAGTATTATATCGGTTGAAAAAACATTCATAAGCGATACAAAAGTTAGAAATCGTAAAAAGTTGAAAAAAGTAATCGAAGTCATCAATAACAGAAACACTCAATCGTTCTACACCAAACAAATGATCTTTTCTGTTATACCAAAGAGCTCAATCAGTACTTCATTAAAGCACTTACGAGAATTCGTGACTTCTTCAAACTGACTTTTGTTCAGGCCTAAACGAACTAGAGATACTCAGAAAATAGTATAAAAACAATCGTCACAATGTCGTTTCATCATAACAAAACAACACCAAATATTACTTTCTCTCAATAAGTCCCCAATGTTTATGAGAGACAATATCAGCCAATATACTGAAGAACTTACGAAACATTTGTGACTAAACAGACTTTTGATTAGGCCCGGATGAGCTGATGATGCTCAAAAAATAGAAGGAAGAAGAGTGCTGCCATGAACTAATCGTATTTACATACCCAAGTGAAAGACCATCATCACAATGGCGTTTTATCATAA